AGTCTCCAATAACAATGTTTAATGTGAAACCTTTATGGGAATATTTGCATATTAAGGTGGTTATTTTTCCTCAAAAGTCATTTCTTAATGCGAATAAGCAAAGAATTTTGGAGATTTTAGCGTGGAGTAGATGTGTAAGCTGTTTTTCGAGAGATTATACTTCTTATTGACGATGATGATGATGACCTGTCATAAACGAATTCATTTTTACGTGTAGATGATTATTCTCATTAAATTTCGAAATATAAAATAGTTACGGTGCAAGTGGGCCTCAACCAAGTTCAATGTTTTCGACCTTTATGAAATAAGGTCAAAGTACTCGAAGAAAACATTCTTTCAGGAAAATTTACAATACACAGAAGCGTCTGAATTGTGAAAAACTCGATCATCAATGCCAAGACTGGCCAATTTAGTATAGTTTAGATTGAAAAAATTACAAAAATCAGCCGAGTGCCATAATGAACTAAGTTTACGCTTGTTTATCCGCCTTGGAGCGCGGTCATTAGGTGTATTATAGATAGTAGCTTTCGTCAAAGTACGTCGTGACTTCAATTTTCCTGCATGATTTCCGACAGTGCCGCTATTACGATTTCGATTAAGCGATCCGAGGGGCAAAAAGCTTTCGGCTATAATAGAGCTGGACGCAGCAGACTGTACAGGCTCTATGGTTTTTAAAGATAATGCTACATAGTAATACGCCGGTAATTTAAGGAGCTTTTAAATGGCCGAAATACAGCAAGACTGAAAACTAGAAGCAAATCAATTAAAATAATCACAAGAAGTTACATCAAAAGTACATAAGGTAAGATACATACAATCCCAATAGAATGTTTATGTAGAGAACAAGTTTGAGTGTGAATTCAGACGTTAATCGTTATTATTACTGTTAGTGCTATACGAGTAGGATAAGGGTTAATGCCAAATAAAGGGCAAACCAGGTTTTGAATATGTTTATACTAGTAAGCCTTCTCTACATACATCTATTATGCCATCTGCCTTTACATAGTTCATTTGTAATCTTAGTTGCTAGGCAGAGTTTAGTCATTAGTCATCACCCGCTAATGCAGCGATTATACAGCGAATGTCTTTGTAACATGATTATGAAGACTGCTTAATGTGCGAAAGTGCTCTTAACAATTCTAGTGATTCAAATTGTATAGAAGAAAGTCGTGCTGCGGCGTTCTTGTGCCCTGTTAATGTTGCCTTTGTATTGAGCATGGACAGTTCGCTGTTTTTATTGTGATTATGGAATTGTTTGTGGAGTTACATGCAGAATAATCACAAATAACCAGAAAATGTTAAAACCTATTATGTACTAGGTGAGCTACGAACTTTTTAATTGGTGATCAAACTTGATAGCCGATTTATAAAATGGAATTCTATGTATCGTCTCCCTCGTAGCAATTCCTTGAAAACGCAATACCGCAGTATACGAGGCTACACGTGTTAACGCGAGTAATCTCTGTCTTCGTGTGACAACTACGAGAAACGCACGTAAAGGAGCTACCTCACTGAGAGCTTTCACGCGAAACTTTTGATGTTTCTAAAACGAACATTGGAGTTTAGCAAACCTAACAAAATGTCATAGTGTTTATTTGTGTGATCATTAAATATTTTGACAGAAATATCTTGATTTTCTTAAAATTTTCCTAAACTTTATTAGATGGAAGAGTTCTGTGGAAAAACAAATACCTAAAGAAATTCGTAAATGTGATCTCCATTCTCCATTCACATGTTATAATTATCTCATAAATATACGACACGACGGAAAATTTGACAGCGGAAGGCTGTGTGTTAGAGGCTTTAGGTAGAACCTAAATAGAAACAGCATAGATCTTCCTAGTATTTCCAGTTCGCGACTGCTCGTGACCATTCCTGGTGGAGGAACACCTTTACGACAGACGTCTGGAGTGACGCGCGAACCGCGATCGAGTTGACGGTGTCGATCCAATTGGTTTTCGGCGGTATATTGTCTCGTGTCAATGAGCCTGTCTGCATGCGAGACGTAAATTGAAACTCGTTTGTATTCGAGAATTAATAAAGCTTTAAAGTCGAACCGTCTGAAAATGTCTTCACAGCGATACGGGTTTTGTCAAGGAAAATGTATTCCTGTAAAGGAGCTTCCTCGATGAAAAGGGAAACGATCTTGATGGACAAACGAGCAAAGTACAATTTATATAAACTTTTCAATAAGTGTTACATTTCAGCGTTTGGTTTCATGTCACGACGCAAAAACTTGCCGGTAGTACCCATAGTAAGTTTTACGATGACAATACAAAAGATTTTCCAAAGTATTTCAGTGCAATATTTTTAAAAGAAAACAAGCATGAAAAAAATAATAACAAACCTAAACAGGAGATATTTTAGTGCTAGAGTAGCGTTAATTTAATAATCTTACGAACTAAAAATCAAGAGGATGTAAACTATCCATAAAATAAATCAAAATCCCAGCAAATTGAAATCTATTGTGAACAGATTCATTTGGATATTTGGACCGGAAAAGTCAATAGCGTTGGCGGCGAGCGCTTATTGAGTCATTTATCCTAACTATAAAAGCAATGATTAATATCCCGGATACTTAGCTAGAGGGGGCTCGTGGACGTATCCAGGAAAACGTCCACGAAAACAAAATCAATGTAGATAAGTAGTTTTCCGAGTAATGAAGAATTAGTTTTTTTCCGGTAATGGAGTTGGCGCATAGAAGAGTAAAAGTTTGATGAAAGACTAAGGAGCGCCAATTTTCTGTGAAGTAAGCTTATAGAATTAAGATAATGAATATCTGAAACTGTAATAGAATAGTAAACCTTGAAGACAATGTTAAAGCATAACTTGTTATCGAATTATGTGAACAAACAGCTTAATTTTCAACAGAATACGAGTGTACCAAGAGCATTAACTACCAGGAGCAGGTCATCAATTCTTGCATGAAATCTTCAACATAGTTGTACTAAGTTCTGTTCATAGTTATTCTCTTCTAATAGCCACTAAAACTTACAATAACATAAAATAGCACGTTACCTAACGCTGTTTACCAACACACTTGTAACCTTGGCGTAGTCGTAAGAACACATCTACACGCGTCAGTTAACACCTAAAGCCGTATGCAAAGACCGGGCGCGGCTCTTTGGTCGTACAAGTGATAAATAAAGCGTAATTGAGGGACGGAAACGGCCAATGAGTAAATCTCGTCCGTCAATTTATTTAAATTATTTATTAGTGGCCGGCTATAGACACCCGCCGCGATCGCTTTCAGAGCGTTCACAGAGCCCGGACGCGCGCAGTGATGCAGCCCGATGGAAACGGCAGCATCGATATCGATGCTTGAAATCTATGTTTACTAGAACTATCATATCAGTTTTACACGAAGAATGTGTTTAAAAACGCTATTTCTGTCGTTTGTTTTTCCTGAATTTCAGCGGACGCTGAAAGGAGGTGGAGGTGGTTTATTGTGCATTCATTAATTATTCAGAACGCACATTCATTGTCATACTGTCATAAGATATTAATTTAGGTCATATTATATGGATAAGTTTCACTTTTAATTCATTTTTGTATTGAATGAATTCCTAAAAATACAGGGTGTTAGGCGGAAGGGTAGACAAACTTCGTGGGTGTCTATGTAAATTCATTTTAAGAATACAAGTTCGCCCATTTGAGCCTAAGTGGAGTACTTATGGTATATGGTGAAGTTTGTCTAACCTTGGGCCAAACACCCTGTATATGTCCAGAAAGGGTTCTTCTTTAATCCCGGGTTAGAAAGATAATATTGTGGTGTAGCTAAAATGTGCCTATGTAAAATAAAAAGAATTTGAAATCAAGTCAACGGCATAATTTTTGGAGGAGCACTGACCTCGACGACTCTACTACACTGATTTGCCAACTGCCGATTATACAAAGACACAATTCTTTGACGTAAATGTCCAACGTGACCGCACTGAGGGCACACGTAAATAAAGAATTCACAAAAATAGTATTTTGTGACTATCGATGGCTCAAAATATCGACCGCCGGTTACCGAAGATGAGTTGAGTTAGTTAATTTGTGCAGATGCGACACAATGGATGAGGAAATAATATACATATGTGTGTATGTCCTGATATATGTACTTATATAGCACCGGGAGATTGTAATTGGCGTAATTGGACGAATCTGGACGCGCTTAAAAATGGACCATTGTCGTAATTCAGACAGCGATTCATCGTTTGTGATTCATTACTATTAAATTAAAAAGTTTGGTACTATTTCTGTAACGGGGGCGATTATCACTTGTATCTAATATCTTGTAACATAACGTTCAATGTTGCTCTTGTTTGCACAAAACGAATGTTTAAACTTGATTAATGTTTTCTTTAGTAGTTAGGAGCGAGAAACTAAACGGTTTCATGTGATCTGTTCTACGTCAAAAGTAATGTTATAGTTACTAGCCATATCTATGCTGTTTAATACACTAATTAATACCTGTAGCGGTGCTGCTACTGTGTCCATAAATAAAGCAGTTTTATAAAAGCAATTCAGTATGTAAGTTGATAAGTTGTACATTTGATTGTAGACTTTTAGAATAATGTTAATTTGATGAAGAAATTATTGTCACTTGTTAAATTGAATCGTAAAAGGCGTTGTTGATATCAGCACGCTACGAGATCTGTAGAAAAACGTAGCAACATACTTACCTGTATTTACCTCTCGTTACATTTTTGATTATCACCGTAATAGCTGAAGATAAAATCATTCCTAAAATCAAGTGGCAGTGGGCGGGGCACATAGCTCGTAGAGACGATGGCCGAAGGGGCAGAAAAGTTCTGGAGTGGCGACCACGGGCTGGAAGACGTAGCGTGGGCAGGCCTCCTACTAGGTGGACCGACGATCTGGTAGGCAGCGCAGGACCGTTCATTGTGGAAAACCTTGGAGTAGGCTTTTGTCCAGCAGTGGACGTCATTCGGCTGAAACGAACGAACGAACGAAAATAATTTCTAGAGAAGAGGAAGAGACCCAGCACTTACCCATTGATGTCGGTGATCGACCAGAAGTGCTTGAGGACGGCCTTCGCTAGCAGGTACCAGATCTGGGTCCACACCCACGAAGACTTCTCGATGGAGTTCGATAGGAAGCTCTTGGTCTCTTCATCTGCGTGGAGTTGGACGAACGTGGACTGCATCTCTGGGGACAACCGGCTTTTGTCGACCCGGTACCACTGAAACAAAATTCAATTTTAATACCTAGCTATTACATAACATAATATCATAAGGAAAGCCTTTAAATAAGCAACGAAGCAATGCTGCTTTGCTTGAAAAAAAAAAGTTCCGGTCGTGAATGATGATCGCATTACAGAAATAACAAGGTCTATTTGTACATCGGATGACTCTGTCCAAGAAACAATACGATGCGCATGCTTGCTTTGAAACCGGTCGCGTATGATGAATGCATACCATAAAGACATCCACACAACGTGTCTAATTATCGAATCATCAATATGATTCACACGACTGGACGAGCAGAACAAAAAGACTCTTAACACAATATGCAATTATGTAAATGCGCCGTCGTCAAGTATTAGCGAGGACGTGATTAAAAGAAACTTTTCTTTGGAGTACAATTGTGAACTGTAAATTGATGTTTAACAACCCTTGGCTGCGTGTTCTTAATGAAACCATATAAAAAGAGTAATCGAGTGCAAATAAGAGAGTGTAGTATGAAAGGAGCGCGTAGCTCGTCACCCGTTGTGTGTTTAAGTCCGCCGCCGCGGCCCTACAAAGGCCAGTGCGGCCGATGTTAATTTCACGCTGCCTCGAATTAACATTTCTTTACGCCACAGAATAATGACGAATTAAAAAAACTTCTCGCCTCTACATGCGGCAGTAATGACGGCGGCTGCTGGCCGCGAACTCATCAGCCGGGCTTAATTAATACCCGATGTGTCTTTATATTAAAATCGGAGATGGCCGCTCGAAAAAATACTGGGCAAGCCATACGCGCGTGAGAGCGGTGGGTTCTTCGCGGCGGATGTTGTTGGTTGATTAACAATTTACAAAGATGCAGTTCTTAGCAAAAAATAAATTCATTGTTTACTTCAAGGCGTTTATTGCTTTAAGTATTACGTTAATTAAATCAGTACTTAACTATTTAGTTGATTTGTAATTAATGCTATAATACTACCTAACAGAATACAACTTTTCATAAGTACTTTGCTGTTTATTTCTGCTTCGATGTCACAAACAAACAATGCAGAAGTTGCAACACATGCTCTTAGACTTGTAAATTATTATTTTAATGAAAGCAAAAATTATTCGATACTATTTCATTTTATATTATTGTACGGATCTCATATTATAATTATCTAAAACCGGTAGTTGAAACAATCGTCACGGTAAATCGAACCGTCCATTCGGGTCAGCAGCGTATTCGATTTTAGGGACCCACAATTCAACGCGTATTATTTAAATTTATGTATTGACTTAATTGAATATCGTATGTGAATAACCCAATATACTTAAGGATAGTTTAATGTAAAATTGATACACCCAAAAATATGTAGTTGGTTAAAAAGTCATTAAACAAATAATGTATCATACATACAAGATTTTTGGGTTTGTTTGGAATCTGGATGCAAATCGTATTTTATGAGAGGGGTAACTTCATAATTGTGATCATCATTTCATCTACAGGACGACCACTGCTGAAAATAAGCCTCCCACAATGACTTCCACATCGCACGGCGCCTTCCTGCTACCTTTATCAGGTCTCTACGGGTCCACCTTGTGGGTAGAGGTCCCAACCTGCTAACTGTAGCTGGGTTGTAACATAATTTGTTATTATTGTTATGGGTGTCGTATTATTATAGTACTGAACTGCTGAACCCGTTACTCTAAAAATTCTCATACTGGGTGCTAACTGTGCTGTAATAAATTAACGCGAATATTTTATGAGGTCGCATGTTAAAGAGTACAAATTGATAAGTCCGCCGAGCCAGTAGCGTTCTAGGAATAACGCAATAAAATCATCTCGACGAGCTAATATAAGTCAAGCGTTTACTGTTAGAAGATAGGACGTCATGAAAAAATTGAGACAGACAGATTACTTTGAAATGATAATGATGCTACTGTAATCTGCTCTTTCCGACTTGTTTGTTAGCAAAAGAGGTCGCGATGTGAATAAATCGGCCGAACGAATTGGACTACACGTATCGTCGTATAAAATAATCAAAATCTAGAACATTTTTTACGGTGGATCGCATAAAAAGTATCGTAAAAACCTGGGCAAATAAATATTTAGTACCGAATACTGATAGCGAATCACGTTGGTGATTATGCAATGCGCCGTCTTTCCATTTAAAATAGCCTGCATCCGAAGTACGGGATCCGACAAGGGGAATTCTCCAGACAGAATACAAATCGTGGAAAATTTCTGAATGTCAAGCTCTTTGATCATACCTACTTTAATACCTACGTAGTCTAACGATTGATAGACCAAATCATGAAACGTTTGAGTGATCGTTTTAAAATAGTTTTATTTATTAAAATTGTTTGTTTTTTAATGAGAGTGGATTTAGTTTAGGCAAAAGGTGTAATGGGAATAGGAAGAGGAAGGGTACTTGGATAGCTTTATTAATTATGCAGTAATGCAGTAACGTAGTAACAGAAAAATGTAGTAACGTAGTAGCAATCAAACGAAGTGGTGTTGTTCATTTGCTTTGGTACAGGGTGCTGTTTTGTTTGACGCATGTTTATCAAATTCACGCATTCGTTCGTAATCGGGGTAGGTCGTTGTATTATGCAATGTTTGAAAAATGAAATTGCGATCTAAACCAATGGGTTCTGTCTGATTAACACAGACACATTTGTGATGAACCACAAGGAGCGTTGTTTTATGTTGTTTTCGATCATGTAGACTAGAGGCACCCGCTTCGATTATTTATGAGACTCATGTTTAGGATTCATTTTCAGCTCGTGTAAAGTTGGATTTGCATGAATAACAATTTCCTCATTTTAAAAATCTACCTGTTTAAGGAAGACAAATCAAGAATGATTTATTCAGTCGAGTTATCGAGGCCGCGTCGTTTCTTATGTATTGTCTATGTGGGTTACCGTTTTTCGCACAACCCGTTCTTAAGATAAATAAATGTAAGCGTTAATTTAAGCCCTGTAAATGTTTCATGTCATTCGGTCAGTCATAGCGTCTGAATGGGTTCATTATGTGCCGTTGACTCGTTAGCGCAGGTCAGCGGAGGTGCATCCATGGAACGAATGGAGGGATGCAGGTCCTTTATCCGCCGGTCGTTCGCCTCGAGCTAATGAATCAAACCTCTTGGTGTGAGCATATTGTCAATACGCAGCGAAATATTAACATTGAAATGGCTCGCCGCATAATGCCAGATTAATTCCCATTTAAATGTGTGAAATAAATGGTGGACATCGGACAGCGCGTACAGCTTCGTTTTGTATTCGCTTTTCTTCGCTTGTGAATAGGTCGCATTCGATAAGTAGGGCCGTGCAATTTGTCGTGACATTACTTGTTTATTTCATCTTTAGTATTCGCAATAAATTAAGCATACAAAAAGTATTTTAGTTACATGTGTCTTTTTAGATACAGTAATTCAAATCGCCAAGGGAGTTAGCGCAGCGTATAGTGCCACGTACGGAGAAGGCTTGGCGGTAACTATAAAAGATAGTTCCGAGCTAAGTGGCGCATGGGCTGGGGTGGCTCCCGTGAGATTTGCCGGTAAGCTCCCGAGCTTGTTTGCCGGGCGCTCCATTAAAATGGGATCAGCCGGGATGCAGATCGGCTGGACTCTGCAGCAGACGAGCGGGCTATTTGTACAGACGAATGAAGTGCTCACGATACGGTAAGCATAAGCTGAATAGCTGATCTACTATACCTCTAGGTAGTTTATGTGCACTAAAAATATCCTGTTTGTGAGTTACATAACAAATATTTGAATTATGATAGTTTTCTTTTTTACACTTCAGTTTACAGTTGATACGATTAAGTAGAGTACCAATGATAATAATTAAAGCAGAGTTTACATTAATTCCTTGCCATTTGCTGCCTTTTAACTATAATAACAACTTTAAAAAGCTGTAAAATAAATACAGACAGGCCATAGACTTTTAAAGGTAAGAATAAGGTTTCTTGTGCAATTTGTAATCTAGTCATTCAATACATCTTTTTTACTTTACTTATAAATAAACATATTTTTATTTCGTTATTTATTTGCCTTTTTGAAAGTAATTCATCCAGTGCTTACAAACGTATTGACTGTAATGCGATATATTTTGGAATCAGAAAATCTTTTTATAAGCCCTATATCGAATTTAGCTTGGATTAGACCAAATATCTGCTAAAAACTTGCATAGAAGTTTCTAGACGCGTTGAAATACTATCGGCATCATTCGAGCCTAAGTATACTGGCGCATATCAATAAAAGGATCAGTACGAGTGTGAACTTTATGTACAAGTTATTTACATATAAATGTCTGCGGAGATATTATGTGTTTACGTATAAGAGGATTATTTTCGAGATGGGAACTTGAAATCTGCTAAATGTAATTGTGAATACTTTAACAATGAAATAATATCCATATTGTTTTCGTAAAAATTATGTTCATTTATTTTTTTGTTAAAGTTACAATAATAACGTGGCTGACAATTTTATGATTCCTTCTGAACATATGTAGAACATAACATAAGGCTTACGTTGTGATATAGTGGAAAGATTACATTGTTGATAGAGATTCATTTCGCCTGTGGCTTTTCGTGGTTAATTTGATTCGAGTGTGTCTCGTGCGACACTGGGCACATAAAGTTTATTAGCCGCCACGGGCAGAGATATACGAGCGTGCTTGTAATAATACCCTCAATTAATATCTAACACATGACTTATTGCTGCAAAACAATTGATTTCGATTAACACTCCGCAAAGCTACTAAACAATAAAGCATTCTATCAGATATGCATTAACTATCTATAGAAATTAACAGTTGTATGTGCGTTTGTACAACTTTAGGTCAAAGAATATTAATGAATGGAATAGATTGGCCAAACGAAGGAGCCTACATAACCTCGTAAAGAGTATTGAGGTATAAAATCCTTATAAGTATCCTTCACCGTCTAAAGGAAGTACTCTTCCTTAGGTATTATAATCCTGGATTACATGATGAGGAAAAATGCTGAAGTGAAGGGCATTGATTTATTTGG